CCGGCTCGTCTGATCTCTGGGTACCTTCCAGGAAATGCAAGAAAAGCTGTGGTAAGTCTCTTTTGCACTATGCTTATCCACAAACACTATCACACTATAAGCCGAATTGATCGATAAAGTGTATGAAAGGCTCTTTCATGCCTAACACAGCCCAGTGAGGATTTATAATATTCCTCCAGGTTTTTCCAACGATATTCCTGTAGTTAACAGGAAGTAGTGCGATAAATCAAACGGGTGAATAAAAGACTTCACTGTTCGCTTGCCCGGAAAGAATTCCTGCAAAGACTAAGGTAAGTTCGGTAGTCGCATGGACAATACATCTGTCGGCGGTGTGTCTGTATACTCTTTAGTAACGTTAAGGGTCTCACAAACGATATCATGGCTGGAAATCAAAGACTTCCAAAAATTTGAAAAGACCATTCAAGATACAATACCTTGATCGATCATTTGTTAAAGGCACACTGAACACTGACACTATCACGGTACGTTTATTCTTTCAGTAAATTCGTATTCTTCTTTTGAAATATTCATGATATTTTCGTTTTGAATGATACAGATCGGTAATATATCTGTGAAACATCAAGTCTTTGCTGAAGTAATCAAAACATCTAACTTTCAAAACAGTCTTTTCGATGGCATTCTTGGTATGGGCTACCCGTCTCTAGCTAATTCTGGAGGAATACCATTATTTGTAAACATGTTAACTCAATATCCGAATCATGTTTCTCCCATGTTCTCCTTTTGGCTTAATCCGTGAGTGTGTCTACTTGTTGAAACATTATTCATTAGAATTATTCATTAGAATTGTAGTGATGAAACAAGTTCGAATGGAGGACAGTTAACATTTGGAGGAACAGATCCGAAAAATTACATCGGATCTTTCACCTATGCTAATGTGACGGACCCAGGATATTGGCAATTCAAACTAGATAAGTATGTAACCAAGTTTGAGTTGGTAAATGAAAATTTTTAGTAATTTATTTATATGTAGAGTCAACATTGCTGGTCATCACTATTGTAAGCAAAATTGTCAAGCGTAAGTAAATTATGAAATTTATTATTATCTGAACAGTAGTTTTTGTAAAGTTTAGTATAGCTGATACGGGAACGTCGTTTATTATCGGACCAAAAGAAATTATCAGCAAAATAAGCCATCATATAGGTTTAATACAGCTGAATGACGGCACGGTTAGTATAATAAGCAGAATAAAGTTTATGAGCAGTAAAGATATTTGACAAGAGAAATCCTTTAAATTTAGTACATTATCGATTGTAGAAAATTATCTAAAAAGCTCCCAACTATTGGATTTACGATCGGTGGTAAAACATTATCGTTGAGTGCTGAACAATATATATATCCAAAGAAGATTAATGGAGGTCTAATTTGTGTAAGTGGTTTTCAAACTACAGCTGAAGATAAATTTACTCGTAATGGAGATTATCTATGGATTATTGGTGATACATTTCTCTCTCGATATTACACAGTTTTTGATTACGGAAACACTAGAGTGGGATTCGCAAAAGCAAAGGCTTCCTGATTTAATAAACTGCAGATAACCGGAAATTGTAGAATACTTAATATATATATCCACAATGAGTGCAATGTTTTTTTCTTCTAAATGTCAAATATTTAACAACGATCTTTTTCCTTGATATTAACCATAGGTTAATAGCGAAAACGTTTTTTCACTCTTCAGTGCAAAAATGTTATTTTCCTCAGTAGGAAGGTAAATGATCTGGAAGAAGAATTTCCACGAAGGTGGAAAGAGCACACTTTGGACTTTTTGAGTTTTATGAATTTGATGGACTTACGTGGGTGGACTTTGAAAGTCTATCCAATTTCTAAGTACAACGTGCAATGGACTTTTTCAAGTCTACTAAGTCTGTAAAGACCAGAAAAGTCCATCGAAATCCACGTAAGCCGTTAGAAGCTCTACCTAAATCCACATAGATCCTCCTGATGAGATTATTTAGTCAAGATAATAAAAGAACAATCGC